AAAGGTTTTTTTCTTCACTTTTTTCCACAGCAAGAGTGACATTTGTAAATTAAGTAAAATATTAAAGGGTTTGGCATTTTCACTGTTCACACCTAGTTCATACTTTCATTTATCCTCCCCAAAGATGCTCTCTTCTCTCAGATAGGACTCTTACATGGCACAGTATCATTTATGTCAGTGGCAGGTCAGTCGCCATTGTGCAGTGAAATCTGCTGGCATACACTACACTTGTGTTCAGGCGTCTGTTAGCTGGTGCATCCACTGCACACACATGCAGTGGTACTGGTCAGGTAGGTCTTTGATAATAGTGTACAATGTTTCCTCCAGTTCTTTCAACAATGGAGGGCTCTAGTGGGTTCCTTGTTGTTTAAGAAGGGCCCAGAAGCTTTATCATTGTCTTGCTACAACACACTCAGATAAGATGAAATTGGATGAAATGAGGAATGTTTTGCCTTCTAGATACACTCTTCTCATTTAACCATTACATAAGCCAAATTTGGCTCACAAAAATCTCAGAGTCTGTATCAGCTATCTCATAGTTATTTTATAGTGATTTTTTTAGCAATTGCTAAATACTTTCCTGATATTTTTTCAATACCCCCATGATTATGCAAAATGAATGTTTCTTACCCATAAGTATTCATTGACTGCTCCAACTAATTAGACTATAAACTCTATCACAAGGGCAAGTATTTATGTTTTTTTTTGTTTGTTTGCTTGTTTGTTTGTTTTTTTTTTCTGACTGCTCTGTCTGCAGAGCCTGGGACATATCATGAGGCCTCCAAAGTACTTGTTGGATAGATTTCTTTTTATGATTTCCCTGCTCCACTAGGTTTTTTCCAACTGCAGACTCTTCCTTTTGTTATACAGCTAGTGATTATCACAGAGTCTGCTTAATGGTAGATACTTAATCAATTTTTATTGACTAAGTGCCACAATACGGTTTTACCCCATCAAATTAATTGCAAATTAAAAGTAAGATAGAGTGAACAGAAAAGTTTATTTGAAGTTCTTTTCCAGAGGTTGGCTTCCTTCTACTCAAAACATTTTTTTTTGTCTTTTCCAGGTAAATTCCTTTCTGCTAAAATTCTATAGTTTCATACATCATACTCTTTCTATCATGCATCACATTTATATTTTCTATTCACGTTGAATGGTTTAGGACAAGAGCTGTATGCTATTAAACTTTATATGAAGTCAAATCAGTTATTTTTTCTCTCCAGTGTTTCATGTTTCCCCCCACAAAAAGTAATATGCAAATGAATTACAAACAGGGCGCTTTTATGGTTTTTCAAAATCCATTGCAGGGAAAGTGTGCTTTTCACTGCATAGTCATCTAATGGGTAGAGAAAACTAAGTAGTTATGTTATCTTAGTAGCAAAGAAACCTTAAGTCAACCCGGTGGAATGAGTACATTTAATATATATTCCTAGTAAGATCCAGGCCTTCTTTGTATGATAGCTCATTTAGCTCTGTTTTAGAGTCTCAGTTGTTTCCTTAGAATTATATAGCAGTGTTCTGAAAAACTACTGATCTTTTCTGAAAAGAACTCTTTTCTAGCTCCTGTAACCTCCTTGACAATACGGGTCATGTCTTGCTTACCACTGTGTTACTTGTGTTTAATAAATGCTTTTTAGGTGGGTAGATGGATGGTTGGATGCATGGATGATGGATCAATTAATGAACAGCACGTGACCTTTGATGAACTATTTTGCACCTTGTGATTCTTTGGCTGTTTCTGTAAATCATTTTCTTTTCTCTGGTTCATTCCTCTAACCTTTGATATTTTCACATTAATTAATCCTTCAACTCTGAATAACCAAAACTATTTTCAAAGTCTATAATTACACTGTCATCTAATTATTAGCGTTGTCTAAACATTAAAATATTACCTCCAAACCATGGATAACATTTTTATATATTTTAATTTTTAAAAAATAAAAATTCTTGTATTGTATTTTGTCTTTACAAATACTGCATTATATTCTTTGTATATGTGAAGATATTCAAGTTCAAAAAGAGTTAAATTCCTAGACAGGATTTCCATGCAGTTTGGCTACACTTTTAAAGCTGTGTTGTAGATAGTAAGAGGTAAATATGAAGACATAGATAATGAGAAAAAAAAAGAAAGAAAGAAAGAAAAGATTTGAGATAAGAGTTTAGAGCATGGCCAAACTGGGGACCTTTAAAATATAAAATCCCAGATTACCTGAAGCAGAATAGTGACCAGAACCCTGCATGTGGACCTCTTGTGAGAACTCAAGGAGGTTTTCCAAACATTGGCCTAGACAAGCAGCCAGCTTGAGGAGAGGATGATACAAATGGACCATCCACGCTGAGCTTTGGCCACTGTATTCTCTCTCACCTGGATGGCCTGTCTCACCCTGAAGGGTACTTCCCCACCTACAGTTACTTGCCCCAAACTTGCTCTGCAGAACAGAGCAAGTCTTTTCCTACCTTTAATAAAACTTTGCTATTGTGTGTGCTTGTCTTGATTAATTCTTTGCTCAGAACAGAAAGTACCTCGAAACCACCTCCAAAGGAGACTCCAACACCCTAAAATGCAGTAACAGGATAGTACTGGTGTCTCTAATTCAGTGGAAATATGCAACTGAAGGTAAATGTCAAATGGAATTTAGATTACCATAACAATAATTGAGTCCCCAAATTCTGAGAATATCCCTCATAACATGCAGAATCATTCAAGAAGGTAATCTAATAAAAGAAAGTCAAATGAAGTAGAATGATAAGTGAACATTTGGAGATTATATGGTTTTAATAATACAATTTTAAAAACACTTTGTACTCCAGATTGAATATTTTTAATATTTACATATAGCCACCTGATCTGAGCTCTCTGCTATTTATAGCAAATTTTGAATATTTTTACATATTAGTGATACTTTTATATACTTACTGATGTGTTAATAATTTTATGGTAATCGTTTAAAGTCTGATTATTGGTAAAATTAGGCTATCTTTCTAGGTTTAAGTGAGATTTTAATCTCCTATTTTACATTTACATTATTTACAGTATCAGTACAAATGAGACAGATGGTTTAGAATGAATTCTGTGTGTTTCACACAATTTTTCTCTCCTCTTTCATTATCACAGTTCTAAATTCATCTAACAAAATTTCTGACAAATATTAGAAATCTAAGAAATATACTTGAATTGAATGGAATTTAGTCACCTTTGTTGTCATCATTCCATGACTATGTTACTGAGATTTTTGGGTGCTCGAGTTTCCTTCCAGGTTTTTTTTTTTTCTTTTTTTTTTTTTTTTTTTTTTTTTTTTTTTGTCCTGAGCAAAGAATTGCTCAAGAGATGTGCAAACAATAGTAACCCTACTTTTAACATTCATTAAAAGTAGGGTTAAGAAACAGTTTCTGCAAAGCAAGTTTAGGCCAAGTGAAAGGGGGAAAATCAGTGCTCTTTGCAGGACAAGAACGGGCTGATGTGAGACACACCATGGCACTGTCCTTCTGTGGCCCTCACTCATCTGGCAGAGGTCAGCTCTGGTCCATCCTGTCCAAAACTGCACAACTTCTCCCCAGAAAAAGAGCAGGGTATGGGGAACTATTCTGAGGGTATGTCCTGGGAATTTGCAACTAACACAGCTAATCTCCCAGTCAGTTTGCCACACCCTAATGTCATTAGGTAAGATAAGGAGACTCCAGGACCCCAAAACTTGGTATCCATCCGATCATCATCTACTTCTAACTACCACCATTTGAACACCAACCGACATCCCTACAGGAAAGGCATCTGTGATATCATAATCTAATGAGAATCACAGAATTATTTTACTTTTAACAATTTGGCAACCAATAAAAATTTTAAGAAGCAGATCTAGCCCTAAGCTCAAATTTATTAATTCACTTATTTTAGGGGAAAGAAATCAGTGTACCTAGACAACATGAAAACCCAATAGAAAAGTGGCATTGTACATTGAGTTATATTTAAAATAATTTGTTTTAGAGACATATTCCTATTAGCAATTTCATTCTGTGAAAATTTCCATGAATTTTAGCCACATACAAATTGACTGCTTCATTCATGCATGCTTACGGAAGTGCATGTTTATGGAAGGGACTGTGAAATAACCCTCAAAGCATACATCTCAGATAAGAAGCTTACTCTGCTTACTAAGGGGGAACATAAAGGTCAAGGTCTGAAAACTCAGAATGCAATAGTTTCATCTCAGCACAGTATTATTATGTGACTGTTAGAGAAGCAAATTGGGTTACAAAGTTATTTTTCTTTGAAATCTAGAAAAAATTACCATGGTGTAATGTATAAGCTTCAAGACTTTTAGCTGTATGGTTGCTCCTTTATTTCAATGACAAATAGAGACTAGATGCTGTAGTGAAATTAGATTGTAAAAATGTTAGAATATTATTAAATTTTTTCCATTCAATTCATATCTCAGCATGATACAAAAGAAAAGATTTGAGCTTTGAAAAGAGAAAAACCCTAGTGTGAAGCTCAAACTTGCTAATTATTGTTACTATTATTAATATTTAGTGTGGCCTTAAGCAAGGTTCTTAACTTCTTGATATCATTTTCTGTAACACTGAGTTAATATTATTTTGCAAATATGAGAGAAAATTATAGTCCCATAAAAACTTTGACTACGAGGTCTGTAGCATTGCAATTCCAGCCAGAAGGTACTGAAATTCATAACAGTGAAAAAAATATGGATACACAACACTAAAGTGGTATTATTGAGGGGAAGGAGGAAATCAGATAGTGAAGAAGTAAAAAGTGATTCTGAACAGAGGAAAGACATTTCAAAAAAAAATGGTACCTTCTCCGGACTGTGTCTGAGAATTCTCGAAGTTGAGGAGAGGCACTTGAACCAGCCTAAACATCAAAGGTTTGGAAAGCCCTCTCTCCATTGATACTGGAGAAATATAACTTCCAACGATGCAGATGTCACATGTGCCACCTACATGTCCCCTGAAGTCAAACAATGAATTCTGAAGGACAGAAGAGATTGGAAGTAGAAAAAGTTTATTGCGGAGTAACTCCTGAGTGATAGCAGGGATTCAGAGTGGGTTGCCACTGAAGTCCTTTGCTTGGGTAATTTAATGTAATAAAAGTTACAGTGTGGATCTTACAAGTGTCAAACTACAACTTGTAGGATTACAAGTATAGTCACTTAGCCAATGATGATCCAATAGGAAATAAGGGGACTTAACAGGGTACATAGTTGATATCATTAGCCTTGGCTTAGTTATGACTTCCAAAACAGGAGCATTTTGGGAAGGGATGAGTGCAGAGGTTCTGGTCACCCAGCCAGGTGTCTGATGAGTATCTGAACCTAATGAACTTGGTGGTACTAATCATAGTGCTGCTTATCCCTTAGGTAAGTGTGTCAGTGGGGTCACTGTGACTTTATTTTGAAGCCTGTCTTCTTCAGATGTGCCTCCAGCCACAATTTTGATACCTGTATTTTTCATTGACTTTCTCAAGAGCCCAGTCCTTTTCTGACCATGTATTAATTTCTATCCCACACAGCTGTCTATAATACTGTCTCAGAAAAAAGAATTTTCAGAAGGCACAGGAAGGGTTTTTTAGGTAGTGATTTATAATGTGCTCAAGTGTGGAGTGCAAGAGCTCAGAGAAATGAAACACATTACAGTTTGGAACTGGGTAAATGTATACATTTTTGGTGGTGGAAATCTGTAAAATTTAATTATCTATAGTCTTGGTCTTGGTGTGGTAGATGAGAGAGGATGATTCATCCATAGTAAGAGAATCTTTTTGTGCTTCGGATGGTGGTCTAATTTACAAGTAATGAGGAGACGTATTCTTAGGTGAGAGTAGATATTTGCAAGTATAAAGGAAATGGCTAAATCCACTTGCAGGTAAGAAGGTTTTGCCCATCCTTATTATGCCCTGGAAAAAGAGAAAAAAATAAATCAATAAACTGGTTTGTAGTCTGAAGCTGAAGTTTTCATTTTTAGAATTATGATTTTTTTTTGGTACCTTTCTGTCTAGCTTTCATTTTTTTCCTGTATGTTCTCAGTACTACAATAGTGACATCCAGGAATTGAACAAGAATACCTTTTTGAAGATATTTCCTGGTAGGAGGAAAAGCAAAGGCCAATTCTGTGACACAATAAAATGCAGTGAGTCTAAGGAGCAAGATCAATGTGAGTGAAACAAAACAAGCAACATACAATGGAGGAGACAGAGGTCAGTAAGGCACTATAGATAGGTTATTCAGTGCATTATCTAGATACAGAACATCTGTGCCCAATCAATATTCTTACAGTAATCTTCCAATCTCTATTGTGATAACATTTGGAAATGAGAGTAATTCGGAATTATTTGGGTCAATTTTAGCAGGTTTTAGGTGAAATCATTTGAGAAACAAGATCTGTTACATTTATCACGCTAGTAAAAGCTCTGGTGCTTAAGGCACCAGAGATGAACAATTTTCAAAACAAAATAAAACAAAACAAAAACATCTTAAATCTGAAGAACAAAGATGGTTCTACTTTTGTACAGTCACGGTCATTCCAGTTAAGCTTCACTGGATGTTCTTTTGTTCTGTCCGGGCTATGAGGTGTAAGTCTAAACTTGCTGAATTTTATTAGAAGACAAAAGAAATGCATCTGGCTGTTAAAAACCAAAAAGGGAAGAAGCCTTCCTGTCAGACTTCTGGTGAGGGAAGGGAGATTTTTGAGAGTGAGATAGCAAGATTAAAGAGCTCACATCAGCAATGACAGCAGGCAGCATGGAGCAGAACAGAGCACAGGAGCAAGAGCTGCTTGGGTCATTATTGTATAACTCTTATACAGGGTGTTATCTCATATTTACATTCTTACATGGTGTTGTAACTGGTGCATGTAAGTTTACCTGTGCTAAGTCCTGGTTATATAACTACTCCACTGTGCACCTGTATCAAACAAACTGGGTCACACTCTCAGGTGTCCTAAAATACCACTGAGCTTTGAAGCAGTCTAAGTGGTTCCCCACACCATATATTGTCTAGAGGGGTACAAACTGACAAACAAAAAGAAAAGAAAAAAAAAGTAAAAGTTAAATAAGCATGGTGGTGGCCAATTCCAAGTGGTATCCAGCCTAGTTATTGGAAACACAATTCACAATGGCTAATTTTATGTACTTCCATAAAGCAAATACTGTACAGAAACCAATGCAATCACATAAGAGCTGGGGGTTAGCTCAGTGGTACAAGCACCTACCTGCAAGCGTGAGGTCATGAATTCAACCCCCAGTATCCCCCCAAAAGAAATATGTACTTCCCTAAGGAATAAGTGATATTATAATCCCAAGCTTTTGGGGCTTCTCATTAACTCTCGGGATGGGCCTCCTCTCCCATGCATTATGACTAAGTTAAGACTACTAAGATAAAAAGAACACTCCAAATCTAGATCCTTCTCAGCATAAAATCATCTCTGCCCTCTGTAGACATCCCAGGATTATCGACTGCCTGCTGAGTTATCAAACTCTGAATCTTCTGCTAGCCTCTGCTATCACTGTATACACCCAGTGCATTGCACACACTCAATAAACAGTGCCTCGTTTGAAGTACCTAGGTCTTTGCCCATTCTGAGGCATTGACCTCTCAGCCCTCATCATGCATTACTAAAATTTTCTCTGTTTCTTTTACTCTTTGCCATACCCCTCAAAAAGGCAATTTGGGATCTTGGTCAGGTCTCTGATACCTCATGACAAGACAAGATGGCGGTGAGTCATGTGAGGAGACAGAACTATGACCTTGAGAGGGAAATTACCATCTGGGGAAAAGTACAGGGACTTTGAGCTCAAAATGAAGTAAATTTGGGTAGGCAGCTTCTAAGACTGGCAACCTAAAGTTAATCACAGATATTTTTCCATACAAAGAGCACAAAAGCTGAGGAAAGCATGGTGGAGTATTGAAACATAGAATCCTCAGGACATATTAAACCCTAGGTTACACAAACAGTGCTTGAACTATCTGTTTGGGAAATGGGATGACAACAGATGCTCTGGTTATCCTTTACTGATTCATACCTGCAGTGAGAAAGGGAAAAAAGGAAAGTTAAACTTGAAGTGGTCCTCTAGGTCTCTTACAAGCTTAGAGCACAAATCATGGAGGCCATATGTTCCTCTGGTAACAAATCCCACGTGTGGGACACACCACTCAGCTGTTTCTGGCATCTTGAGAAAAGTTTCTGGGTTCTTTAGCCTAAGGAAAGAAGAAAACAAATTCATGATGAATTCATGAAAGAAAAAGTGCACAAAGAACCTGATCATCTGTTCTTGGCTCCCTTAGTCAATTCCGTTACTGTCCTGGGGGCCTAGAGTCCCCTTCTGGAGGCAAATTCTAGGTTCCTTCTTTCCTGAGCTGACAATTGGTCATGACAAGCACAAAAAGAATTTTATTACATGCAGTAGAAGAAACAGGTTATAGAGAGTGAGTTTAGACCAAGTAAAAGTAGAAAAAAGACATCCAACCTACAGTTGAAGATGGATCCCGATGCAAGAAAGAACAGAGTGACCAATACTCAACATCGACTCTCTTTATGTCTCGCCCTCTCCTTTGTCTGACAGCAGGTTCAGGTCATCCTGTGGGAAACCTGCTCGAGTTCCCCTGAGAAGTCTACCTGCAGGGCTTTGAGAACTGCATGTGCCCTAGGATATTGTCACTAACAGGTCACATCCACTTCCTCAGCCAGCTTTGCCACGCCCTGTGATCACATCTCCTTATGAAACTGAAGCCCTAGTTACTAAGGGTTTTGGATTCCAGGGACCCTCTCCCACATTCTTTGTACAAAAAAGAGTTGGGTATAGCACAAAATGGACCGCAAGGAAGCAGCACAAAGTCTATTAAGGCAATGGTGTATGCTGGTGAAAGGAAAATGGCATGAGCACCTAGGGCACAGTGTACAGGGGTTTAAACATCCCACGTGACCTATGGCACCTCTCATTAAGGCCCTTCACAGAATTATTGACACAGCACTGAGTCATGTCTGCTCCCACCATTTTACATGAACTTTTCCAAAATTCATTGTGTTATAAGTGAATGTATACGGTGGAGTTCACGCGCATGAATTTTTATCTCTAGGGGAAGAAAGGTCACTGTAGGTTACGCAAAGAATTTTAGTGTGAATGCCTCTTGCTTTGGGGTCTTGGTTTTCTTCTTTCAACCATCATATGGAAAGCACAGGGACTGGGTCAAGTGTTGGCTTTGGAGCATTCCCTGGTTCAGGTACCGTAGCCCCTAATTGTGTTATCCATATTATGTTCATGATGGGATTAACGATCATAAGACAGCAAAGAGATGATCTGCTGTTATGTAAGAACAAACATAAAGATGGGTATCTTTAAGTCAGTAAGGAAACCATTACCAGGAATTAAATTGGCCAACACCATTGGACTTTTAGGCTTACAGGCTGCAAGAAAAGAATGTCTGCTTTTACAAGCCACTCCATCTGTGGCTCTCTGTTACAGCATTCCATGATGACTAAGACATATTTGCAAACCATTCTCAGGGATTTGGCTTTTATTCTGAAACAGAAAGTTACCGAGATATATAGGGAGAGAATGGCATGATCAAACTAAATTTAAAAAGGATAATTTCATCGGTTACACTGAGAAGTAATTGCAAGCAAGCAAAGATAAATGCTGATGGATTAGTAAAGGGATGAATTTCACATATCTTTGAGTACAAATGTGAAATATCAAATTCTTTATTTTTTTTTCCAAAATGAACACAATAAATAGCTGTTATAAGGTAGGAACCTAAGTACATATACTACATTACTTTGTCATTTGTGATGCTCTAACATTTAAATCTAACATATAAATAGTATTTACAGCATTAATTTCAACTTTACTATGTTACTATATTAGTATGGCAAAAAAAAAAGTATCTAAAAGAGCTTTTCTCCTTAAAATGTCTGTAACATTATTCAGCTGAATAAACATTACTTACTGAATGTCTAATATGTGTAGTTATCTGTGTATAACAGCAGGAAAGAGGCAAAGGGCAAGCTCTTTGTCATCAAGCAGCCATATAAAGTAATGTTTATGAAAAGGAAATATCATGAAAAAATCCCCTAATACAATATTAATTTAAAAATCATATGTAAGAAAATATAACAGGGAGAAAAGAAACTGGGAGAAAAAATGACCAAAATGATGATGATGTGTTTGATTAAGGAAAGCATAAACTATTGATAAATTATTTTTGCCTTATTTTCACGTATTTTAGGAAAAATTACATAATCTTAGTGTACGCTGAGTATATTTGTGTACTGAAAATGTATACACTAATAAAAATATAGGAAGTAAGCTACTCAGACCAAGTTTTTCTGCTGGAAAGAAAATAATAGAGGTAAAATTAAGACAAAAATATAAAAAGATGTAGACTCATAATAACATTATGTCCAAAACTAAGGCAGAAGAGGAATACATAATTAGGAAAATAGATGAAATCGATATTCATTTGGAAAAAAATTGATTACCTACTAGGTAGATTTTTCAGGATAATAGATACTGGTTACAAATTACCCATCTCATGAAAAAGAGAGAGTCAGTACTACTACTGATTCTATAGATTCACAAGGGTCATACAATGTTATTATGAGGAACTTTATGTTTATACATTTGGTAATTTAGAAGATAATATTATTCTTGAAAACACAAATTAATAAAGCTTCAGAAGTATGATAATAGTTTGATTACATTGAACAGTCTTTTATTTGAAGACATTGCATCTCAAAAAAAAATCTTTCATAATAAAATTCCAGAGCCAGAGAGATTCTAATGGACTCTAACTTGTCAAAAAAAAAAGCAGTTAATTATATACACACACTTAAAATGGGAACAACTTTTTCACATCTATTTTAATGAGACAAGCATCACTTTAATACCATACTCAGACAATGGTAGTACAATAAAAAATAACTACAATCTGAATCAGTCTGATATTCTTTCTTTCATAATAAAATTGTATTTAAAGTGTGTAACAATTGTAACTGTTACTGCTAAGAGGTATGTGTGGTTGAATTAAGAAATATCCATACAGTTACCATAGCACAGGTCTCAATATACAATGGGTAGTTCATGGACCCATGACCTTAGGTCCTGAATATAGTCCCTGTTCTTTTCCTCTGAGGCTTCTCCATCACTGTTCCCCTGCTCTGTTGCACAACTCTCATGAAGTAACAATTCTGCTCCACCATTCCCTTCAACCATGATGCCTCTGTTTCAGATACAGCCACCATAAACTGTATCCTCCCAAACCAAGGAAACAAACTAAACCTCTTCTCTTCAAGTTATGGCTACCAAATACTGTACTCCAGTGACACAGAAAATTAACCCCGATGAAGAGGAATCATTGCTATGAGCACTGTAATATGCCTCTCTGCATGTTGCACTACTGTAGCAAAAAAAAAAAAAAAAGTCTAAATAGTATCTTTCTTGAAACTGTCTGAGAGGCTGAATTTAAGGAGTATCACAATAATTAAACTTGTGGAGAAAATTTCAAATTTCAAAGCAGCCCAACATGTAGATCTTGGTATGGGTACTGCTTGTACTTTTAGACATATACCAGAACCAAAAATTGTAGCAAAAGAAAAAAAAATTTAAATTACATTTTGTCCCAGAAGAGTTCTTTATAAAACAGTAAAGTTGTTATGGTTTATGAGGAAATCATTGTTATTAAAAAGATGCTAACTGAAGTGTTGACTCAGACTACAATCTCAGCATGTGGGGACACGGAGACAGAAGGGTTATAAATTCCATCTATTTCTGGGCACTTAGTAACTCAATGAGGTTCTGCTTGAAATAACAAATAAAAAAAGATAGGAATTAATATGAAAGCCCTGTATTCATTCCCAAGCATAGAAAAATAAGCTTAAAAATTAAAAAGAAACCAAATACTTTGTACACTGACAAGTAGAATAATGCTCTGAGGACATGTTAGAAATCAGTAGGATTCCCTCCAGCTCAGGTTTAAGGAGGCAAAAGTGCCTATTTTTTATTTGAGAAGACAGTCACAGAGATCTTGGAAGAGAAAGGCCTCTGAGGAAATTAGTTCCCTAAGATTCATTCTACTGCGCTCCAGTGTCCAGACACTCAGAAGCCGTGGCAGGCATTGTACAAAAGGGTCTGGCTGCTGTGAAAACTGGTCACATACTTTAGCCTTTCACATGATGTTTACTGTTCGGGAATGTAGAATACTAGAGCTCAGGGATCAGAATGGCTTACACTCGTATTTCAAATAGGAGCATCATCAAGAAGCTAAAAGACCCTGAGGAGGTAGTGCATGAAGCCAAATGTAAAATAAGACTCCAGGAAGTTGAGGATGCCTGAGTGGGTGGAAGTTTGGCTTACAGATAGTTGCTGGAAATACACTTTAAGGAGAAGTCATTGCTTGGGAAGTGGACATGGAGTGGATCATAATGGTTAATTATGATATTCAAAGTTGAGTAAATTAAAAAATTCCAAGTAATTTTCAAATTACTATAGAATATTATTTAAAAACTATTCAGCTTAAAATAGTAATCACAATTCCATATCTCTTATGACCAAAGATATAACAATATGCTATACTATATTATGAAATAAAACCCACCATGACTGAATAGGATTTATTCTATGTATAGAGAGATAGTTCAGTATGACAAAGGTGATTATTGAACTCTATCCAGTCCTTATTATCATCAGGGTAAAAAATTGTCACACTGAGGTAGCAAAACTTTGGAAAAAATCAAATACAAGTCCATGATAACAAATCTTAGCTAACAACTTGATAGTCTATAAAAAAATTACAGCTAATAGATTTAATCATAAAACTTGTTCCATTATTTCTAAGATAAGAACCAATTCAAAACATTTTGTCATTATTTTTGTACCATGAAATTGTAACTCAGGCAATGATAAACTTAAAGAATGACAATGAGAAACTGCAATTGCCTTTACTATAAAATTATGTGACAGGCTATGGAATATATTCCAAAATTCTACAACAAATTTCTGTAATGAGTGAGTTTATCAGGCTACCGGAATCAAAGTCAATAAGTAGAAATCAATTTTATTTTATATGAAATCAATAATCCATCAAAATTTGAAATAAAACCATCACTTTACACTTTCATAAAATAAAATATTCAGACATAAATCTAATAAAATATGTGCAATAGCTATGGGAATAAAATTTCAACT